TAGCCTCAGCTTAGCCTCAGTATAACCTCACATCACAAATACCTCAGCTTATCCAATATACCTCAGCTTAGCCACAATATAGCCTCAGCTTACCACAATATAGCCTCAGCTTATCACAATATAGCCTCAGCTTAGCCACAATATAGCCTCAGCAGCACATATGCCTCAGCTTATCACAATATAGCCTCAGCTTATCACAATATAGCCTCAGTTTAGCCACAATAGCCTCAGCTATCCACATATAGCCTCAGCTTATCCACAATATAGCCTCAGCTTAGCCAAAATATAGCCTCAGCTTATCCACAATATAGCCTCAGCTTATCCACAATATAGCCTCAGCTTACCCACAATATAGCCTCCCCAATCAGCTTATCACAATATAGCCTCGCTTATCCACAATATAGCCTCAGCTTAGCCACAATATAGCCTCAACCTTCCACAATATAGCCTCAGCTTATCCACAATATAGCCTCAGCTTAGCCACAATATAGCCTCAGCTTATCAGTATAGCCTCAGCTTATCCCAATATAGCCTCGCTTAGCCAATATAGCCTCCTATCGCAATATAACCTCAGCTTATCACAATATAGCCTCAGCTTAGCCACAATATAGCCTCAGCTTAGCCTCAGTATAGCCTCAAAGCTAAACAGTTTACCCTCTGGCACCTCTCCCGGGCACCATTGTAGGGGCGATAAACTGGTTTTATAACCTGGAACGACCTGCCTTGTTAACTTCTACCTGGGGGGGGGGGGGTGAGAGGGGGAGGGCAGGAGGGAGGATGTGAGGTGCGGTGAGTGAACTTTCTTCCCTATACATACATACATACATACATACATACATACATACATAAACTTTCACATGTATGGGCTACAACAATTTCTCTCTCAACCATTTCCACTTCTTTGTTTTTCTCATTCTCCCCTCCATTTCTCCCTTGTCTCTCACCTCCTCCTCCTCCTCTATCTTTCTCCTCACCCTCTACTCTCTTACTTTCTTTACTCTCTCTCTCTCTTTCTCTTTCCATATGTTACTTGACGCCCCGCCACTCACGTTCTTATCATCCATCTTGACAAATTGATTTAACATTTTTTCTTCTTTCTGTGTATTTAGACCAAAATATTCCTTCTTATCTTGAGTATTGTTGATATATTATCTTATCAGTTGTTACTACGAGTCGAGATCTTGTAAAACTAGGCGGAATGTGGAGTGATAATGACATTTGTGGGCGTGATACCGAGGGAGTACTCAGGTTGAGGTGATGATTGCTTGGGTGCCTTCCAGCGTGTGATGTGTTTATGTTTGTGTGCGTTCCAGCGTGAGTGTTTGTGTGATGCTTTTAAATTTGCGTGATTCCAGCGTGAGTGTTGTGTGATGTGTTCAACTGTGAGTGTTGTGTGATGTGTTCAACTGTGAGTGTTGTGTGATGTGTTCAACTGTGAGTGTTGTGTGATGTGTTCAACTGTGTGCGTTTAAGCGTGAGTATTTGTGTGATGCATTTAAGCTTACGAGTTACATAATACATTTAAGCTTACGAGTTACATAATACATTTAAGCTTACGAGTTACATAATGCATTTAAGCTTACGAATTATAATACATACACACGTTCATGACCCCTAGTCAGTGTAAGCATTTAACACAAATTCAACTAAGAAATTATTATACTAAACGTAATTATACAAATTATACATATTTGAGGAGAGGAAGAACTAATGTATAATAATTTACCTGTAAAGTAACACGATGTATACTGGAGATAGATATATTATTAAACATATACATAGGTAAAGGTGAGACAGGTGTAGGCAACAGGTGTGTAGTGAGCCTTGCTATATGATGAGACTCACCGTTATAAAGGAGATAGATTATTGCTAAAGGTCAGAGAGAGCAGGAAGGGTAGGCAGAGTGAGTGGTGACAGAAGGGTGAACAGGTGGTGACAGCAGGAAGGAGTGAGCAGTGAGTGACAGCAGGAGTGAGAGTGAGTGAGTGACAGCAGGAGTAAGAGTGAGTGAGTGAGTGAGTGACAGGAAGGAGGAGAGTGAGTGAGTGAGTGACAGGAAGGAGGGAAAAACAGAATACAGACAGATCAGACAATATACACACAAAGATAAACCAATGAATAGAATAATAGAGACGAGAACGACAGAGAATAGAGACGAGAACAACATTGAATACATTACAGTGTTTTGTGTACAATGTTACAATATAGCAGCGTTTCAATATAACCATTTTACAATATAACTGTTACAATATCATAGATTTTACCTTGATAATAATGCAATGCTATTTTATAATCATTTACTTAAGAAATATTATGTATGTATGTATTTTATGTATGTATGTATGTATGTATGTATGTATGTAATAATTAACATATGTTTTAATAACTTATATGACCTTGGTTTAGATCTATTTAATCTATTCCATCCGACTTGTTATTAGTATTAAATAAAGTTATCTGTTTACACTAAGTTCTACCCAGTGTCGTTTCTTGTCTCTTAATTAATGTCTTACTGATTTAACTGATGGATGTAAGTCAAAAATAAAATAGAAAAGATGTTGACATTTTTAATCTACCAGAACCAAGATGGCGGGCGGCCACCGTCACCATGGTAACCTGACGACGCCGCTTGTAACCCCTCTATAGTGAAGCTGTGACCCTTTCCCCTTCTCTCACCTTTCTCCCCCTCCACCCCCCTTCTCTCACCTCTCCCTCCCCCCTCCACCCCTTCTCTCCTCTCTCTCCCCCTCCACCCCTTCTCTCACCTCTCTCCTCCCCCCTCCACCCCTTCTCTCCCTCTCTCCTCCCCCTCCCACCCCTTCTCTCACCTCTCTCCTCCCCCTCCACCCCTTCTCTCACCTCTCCCCCTCCACCCCCTCTCTCACCTCTCTCTCCCCCTCCACCCTTCTCTCCTCCCCCGATTAAGCGTGTTATTTCTCTTTCAGTTTATTTAACCGATATTTTGTTATAGTTATGATTCAAAAAATAATAATAACAACAATAACAACATTAATAACAATAATAACTATAATAATAACAATAACAGCAATAACAACAACAACAATAACAACAATAACAACAACAACAATAACAACAACAACAATAACAACAACAACAACAACAATAACAATAACAACAATAACAATAACAACAACAACAATAACAACAATAACAATAACAACAATAATAGCAATAACAACAATAATAATAATAATAATAATAACAATAACAGTAACAACATTAATAACAACAATAATAACCATAATACTAACAACAATAACAATAACAATAACAACAATAATAACAATAATAACAATAATAATAATAATAATAATAATAATAATAACAATAACAGTAACAACATTGATAACAACAATAACAACAACAACAATAACAACAACAACAATAACAATAACAACAATAATAACAATAATAATAACAATAATAATAATAATAATAACAATAACAGTAACACCATTAATAACAACAATAATAACCATAATAATAACAACAATAACAACAATAATAACACTGACATTACCAATAGTTAAAGACGATGTTATAATACAAACTCATCATTTTATATATACCAAGTGAAACATAAAGACTTGTGTTGCTTGTGTTACGTAAAAGTGTTTCAACCAGTGCTTCTTTATATAACTATTAAACTTTAGAATATTATTGTTTTAGTGCATTGAATAACAGGTGAGGAAAGGTAGAAATAATTATATGTAAGGTTGAGTTAGATAGTTAAGTTAAGACTGATTTTGGTGGTGTTTAAGTAAAGCTAATTAGTTGTTTAAGTAAGACTGAATTAGACTTTTAAGTAAGATTGAATTTTATTCGTTTTAACAGGAACTGAACTGAACTCAGATTTAAGTGAACATCTTTAATGAAATAATGAAGAAAAGTGAACATAAGTGAACATAAGCGAACACAAGTGAACGCCATTTAATTTTTATGATGGTAAAGTGAATCTTATTTAAGTGAACGTAAGTGGGATGAACATAAGAACGAAATGTGAAATAGTGATAAAGTGAACTAAGTGTTGACGTTTCAATCATAAGACCAGTTTCACTTGATGAGTTAATTGAATGCAAAAATGAACGCAACATTCCACTTTTGCATTCATAATTCCTGTACGTCAAAATTTATGCATTATAAACATCTAAAAACAAAACAAAGCAAATAAAGTTGGATAAAGCAAACGAAGATAAACCAAAAATAAGAAAATCGGCGAAAAATCTGAGACAATAAAAAACAAATCGACCATAAATACACCTCACGATATAGAGACGAAGAAGTACTGTGATAAAGGTGAATAATAACAGACGAGAATAATACCAATAATAAATCTTACAGAAAATTCGAAACGACATGACCTGGACTTTGGTGCAGGAGGAAAAGTTGAACAGTGGTGAAGTGACGACCAGAATAAGCAGAGTGTCTGAATTCTGTTTAGGCGATTTGTTTCTCGTCTTGAGTTTTTAGAAGAATTCCCACAATACCAAAATAAAACACCGAAAAAAACCACCGGGACCTTGTTTCGGTGTTAAAAAAATAATAAAATAAATTTAGACGGAAAAAGAGACAGGAACATCAAGTAACATCAAGTAACATTACCTCTGTGTTGTAATGTTTCCCAAGTGGTCAACATAAATAAAAAGGAAAAAAAAATACTGGAAACAAGTCGTTCTCTCATTTTCTTTTATACCTTTCTTTCTTTCTTTCTTTCTTTCTTTTATTTTCTTAGGAAGGAAAATAAAAAACGGGATAAACCAAGAACATCTACCATGTGTGTTTACGTTTAGCACCACCAGAGGAACATTATGTAACTCCTTATAAAGGTATGTTAGACCACCCCCCCCCAGCGTTCTAAAGAGGTATACGGTACAGTATATTAAAACTTTCAGACTATATATATATGTGAGAACTCTAGTGAACTTCAGAACTTTCAGAGCAGATATTCATAAGAATTTTCAGACCGTCCGAACTTGTAGACCAGTGATCGCCATAACACTGAGACCATGAACGACCAGCAGATCTCAGGTACACGGAACAGACCACGCCGTCACCACCTCCAGACCAGTGACGTCCCCACCAGGAGGGACAGGAGCCGCAGACCACTACGGCTTGGCTCTCAGGCAGACCACAGCCCAGCGACTCAAACCTGCCACAGTACTAACGGGGACCTCTACCACAGCATAAACCACAACCACCACAGTACAGATTGCCACCGCATCTCTACAACAGATCCTTATCACAGCACTAGCACAGCCTCATATCACAGCACTATTATAACAACAGATCCCTGCCACAGTAGCACCACAGACCCTTACCACAGCGCAGACCACGATAACACCACCACAGCTCCCCACCACAGCAGAGACCTCAACCACAACACAACCACAGCTCCCCACCACAGCAGAGACCTCAACCACAACACCACCACAGCTCCCCACCATAGCAGAGACCTCAACCACAACACCACCACAGCTCCCCACCACAGCAGAGACCTCAACAACACCACCACAGCTCCCCACCATAGCAGAGACCTCAACCACAACACCACCACAGCTTCCTACCATAGCAGAGACCTCAACCACAACACCACCACAGCTTCCTACCACAGCACCTTCGCGACCCACTCAACTAAGGCTTCCTGTGACAGATGGAAGCTGACGTGGTGGCTGACGCTGCCACTCCTGCTGATTCTACCTGCTGTGGTGCAAAGTCAAGCAGGTAAGCTGACACTCCTACTGTTGATAACACTAATGATGTTCTAAGCAGGTAAACTGACGCTAGTGCTGACACAAGTAGGTGACCTGGTGTTCCTGCTGATGATTTAAGCAGGTTTGATCTTGCTGATTACTACTGCTGACGCTCCAGAAACTGGGTTGCTGACTGAAGCAGGTAAGTTGGGACTGCTGCTGACAACTGTGCCAGTGAGTTAAACAGTGAAGCTGACACTACCAATGCTGCTGACAGTTGGGGTGTGTTCACTTTACTGCTGACTCGAGTAGATAATCTGAACTAAATCTATTGCTGACACTAGTGCTGACTTAACCAATAATGTAAACGCTGAAGAGAGGCCAATGATTTCAGGTATCAAAAATATTATTAAACAGTGTTATCTTCTGCGTCTATGCTAGGTGTGTGTGTGTGTGTGTGTGTGTGTGTGTGTGTGTGTGTGTGTGGAAAGTGACGATAGACAGACAGACAGAGACTAACACAGAGACAGACAGACAGGCAAATAGACAAGGTTGAGAAAAAACGCTCAAAAAGTTTATTAAATATTTCTTTACTTTATTTATTTTTTTTTCTGCCTGAACGAACATCTACGTCCCGTCATTTTTCACTCATTCTTCCCAACTTTGTCCAAAAATATTCATACAACCAAACAACAACAACAGACAAACTATAACAACAACAACAAAGAAAGAAATGAATGAGAAAATTGTAGACACGCATATGTTATCTCTCTCTCTCTCTCTCTCTCTCTCTCTCTCTCTCTCTCTCTCTCTCTCTCTCTCTCTCTCTCTCTTTCTCTCTCTCTCTCTCTCTCTCTCTCTCTCTCTCTCTCTCTCTTCTCTCTCTCTCTCTCTCTCTCTCTCTCTCTCTCTCTCTCTCTCTCTCTCTCTCTCTCTCTCTCTCTCTCTCTCTCTCTCTCTCTCTCTCTCTCTGTCTCTCTCTCTCTCTCTCTCCTCTCTCTCTCTCTCTGTCTCTGTCTCTGTCTCTGTCTCTCTCTCTCTCTGTCTCTCTCTCTCTCTCTCTGTCTCTCTCTCTCTCTCTGTCTCTCTCTCTCTCTCTCCTGTCTCTCTCTCTCTCTCTCTCTCTCTCTCTCTCTCTCTCTCTCTCTCTCTCCACACACACAAGATGAGTTGAGCTCTCCAGATGAAACAGCTAATCTTGGCTGGGTAATGAAACTGAACTATTCAGGTACTTCCCTTCGTTAAAGTACCATGCCCCTCCACTCTCTCTCTCTCTCTCTCTCTCTCTCTCTCTCTCTCTCTCTCTCTCTCTCTCTCTCCCAAAAAAGTGCCTCTTAAAAAATCCAATCTTGTCTTGATATATTCCAGGCAATGGGAGATCCGTTGAAGATACGCTTACGATAAAATCCTCTCTCTCTCTCTCTCTCTCTCTCTCTCTCTCTCTCTCTCTCTCTCTCTCTCTCTCTCCCATCCTATCTCTCTCTGTTCTGCCTCCTCTCTCTCTCTCTCTCTCTCTCTCTCTCTCTCTCTGTGCCAAGATGAGTTAGCTCTCAAACAGCCAATCTAGTCTCGGTATATTCAAGAAAGGACGAGCCATCCTGCGTGTGTGTGTCTTCGGGGCTTCATCTGAACAAATGAAACTGACTCGAGTAATTTGATTTCCTCTTCCTCCCATTGTCTGTCTGTCTGTCTGTCTGTCTGTCTGTCTGGTCTCTGTCGACGCATTATAACAACATGAGTCCCTGTTGTGTCTTACTCAATGTTGATATACTGTTCTTGCAATGTTGATGTACTCGTCTTGCAATGTTGATATACTGATATAATGTGTTGTCTAATAGTAGACCCTCCTGCTGAGCATCACAAAAATTGTGACCAAGTCCCAGGTTGCTGATCTGACTTTCTGCCTCATTTACACACAGTTGCAGGGTCTCAATTGTTTCTCTTACTTGACAACACAACATACATATATTGTTTCTCACTATTTTATTTATTTATTTATTTATTTATTATTTCTCTATAGTTCTTTATTATCATTATTATAGTGTTATTATGTTTATTATAATTGTTATCATTATCATTATTATTTCTTTTTCTTATTATAAATTTTGTTCACTATGAATTATTATTACATTTTCGCCCCCCAGGCCCTGATGTGAGTCAGTGACTTGTGCCAGGTGGGCTAATTCCCATAAAAAATCTTCTTGCAATGTTGATACACTCGTCTTGCAATGTTAACTTTTTTGCAATGTTAAGTCACTATTCTGTTAACTTCTTGCAATATTGACTCTTTTGTTAAATTATTGTAATATTTCACTTTTCCTTCTAATATATGAGTCCATTTCTCGTATTTCTACTCATAAGGTACAAGTATTTACAGGTACAGGTAATTACAAGTACAGGTATTTACAATTACAGGTATTTACAGGTACAGGTATTTATAGGTACAGGTATTTACAGGTACAGGTATTTACAGGTACAGGTATTTACAAGTACAAGTATTTACAAGTACAGGTATTTACAGGTACAAGTACTTACAGGGACAGGTATTTACAGGTTCAGGTATTTACAGGTACAAGTATTTACAAGTACAAGGTATTTACAGGTACAGGTATTTACAAATGCATCTATTTACAATTACAGGTATTTACAAGTACACGTGATTACAGGTACAGTTAATGACAGGTACAGGTATTTACAAGTACAGGTATTTACAAGTGCAAGTATTTACAGGCACACGTGATTACAGGCACACATGATTACAGGTACAGGTGATTACAGATACAAGTATTTACAAGTACAGGTAATTGCAGGTACACATAAAATACCAGGTAAATTTCCTATGAATAATTACCTATCAATAAAAAAAAAAATTCTATATTCCCTTTATAGTGTGTATCCAAAGGGGGCTGAGAGGTCAATAGAAAACACCTCTAATTAACACCTTTAATAAACGCCTCTAATAAACACCTCTAAACCTTCATACATAATGGTCTCTGTATAGAATGTAGTGATTAATTTATGGTCCATTTTCCCCCCTTGTGTTTCTTAGAGGAGCATCCCTTCCTGACGGCGACGCTCAGGGAGATGACAGTGGCGGCGGGGCGAAAGGCGAGACTCACCTGTGTGGTAGAGAACTTAGGGCATTATAAGGTAAGTGTAAGGTAGGTGAGTGTAAGGTAGGTGAGTGTAAGGTAGGTGAGTGTAAGGTAGGTGAGTGTAAGGTAGGTGTGAGTGTAAGGTAGGTGAGTGTAAGGTAGGTGAGTGTAAGGTAGGTGGGTGTAAGGTAGGTGAGTGTAAGGTAGGTGAGTGTAAGGTAGGTGGGTGTAAGGTAGGTGGGTGTAAGGTAGGTGAGTGTAGGTAGGTGTGAGTGTAAGGTAGGTGAGTGTAAGGTAGGTGAGTGTAGGTAGGTGAGGTGTAGGTAGGTGGTGTAGGTGGGTGGTGTAGGTAGGTGGTGTAGGTAGGTGGTGGAGGTAGGTGGGTGTAAGGTAGGTGGTGAGAAGGTAGGGGTGGAGTGCAAGGTAGGTGGTGTAAGGTAGGTGGTGTAAGGTAGGTGAGTGTAAGGTAGGTGAGTGTAAGGTGGGTGGGTGTAGGGGTGAGGTGTAGGTAGGTAAGTGTGGGTAGGTGAGTAGGTGAGTGTAAGGAGTGGGTGGAGTGTAGGTGGGTGAGGTGTAAGGTAGGTGAGTGTAAGGTGGTGGAGGTGTAAGGTAGGTGCGGGTGTAAGGTAGGTGTGAGTGTAAGGTAGGTGAGTGTAAGGTGGTGGGTGTAAGGTAGGTGAGTGGGTGAGTGTAAGGTAGGTGGTGGGTAGGTGAGTGTGGTAGGTGGTGTAAAGGTAGGTGAGGTGTAGGGTAGGTGGGTAGGGTGGGGGGTGTGGGTGGGTGGTGTAAGGTGGGTGGTGTAAGGTAGGTGGTGTGGTGGGTGAGGTGTAAGGTGGGTGAGTGTAAGGTAAGGTTGGAGTGTAAGGTAGGTTGGAGTGTAAGGTAGGTGAGTGTAAGGTGGAGGTGTGTGAGTGTAAGGTAGGTGAGTGTAAGGTGGTGGTGTAAGGTGGTAGGTGAGTGTAAGGTGAGTGTAAGGTAGGTGAGTGTAAGGTAGGTGGGTGTAGATGGGTGAGTGTAAGGTAGGTAGTGTAAGGGAGGGGTAAGGTGGGTGGCTGTGAGTGTAAGGTAGGTGAGTGTAAGGTAGGTGGGTGTAAGGTAGGTGGTGTAAGGTGAGGTGAGTGTAAGGTAGGTGGTGTAAGGTAGGTGAGTGTAAGGTGGTGTGAGTGTAAGGTAGGTGAGTTTAAGGTAGGTGAGTGTAAGGTAGGTGAGTGTAGGTAGGTGAGTGTAAGGTAGGTGAGTGTAAGGTGGGTGAGGTGTAAGGTAGGTGGGTGTAGGTAGGTGAGTGTAAGGTAGGTGGTGTAAGGTAGGTGTGAGTGTAAGGTAGGTGGTGTAAGGTAGGTGGGTGTAAGGTAGGTGGTGTAGGTAGGTGGTGGTGTAAGGTAGGTGGTGTAAGGTGGGTGGTGTAAGGTGGGTGGTGTAAGGTAGGTGAGTGTAAGGTGGGTGGGTGTAAGGTGGGTGGTGTGGTGGTGGTGTAGGGTGGGTGGTGTAAGGTAGGTGGTGTGGTGGGAGGTGTAAGGTAGGTGAGTGTAAGGTAGGTGGTGTAAGGTGGGTGGTGTAAGGTAGGTGAGTGTAAGGTAGGTGGGGTGTAGGGTAGGTGGAGTGTAAGGTAGGTGGGTGTGGTAGGTGGGTGTAGGTGGTGGTGTAGGTAGGTGGTGAGTGTAAGGTAGGTGTGAGTGTAGGTAGGTGGTGTAAGGTAGGTGGTGTAAGGTAGGTTGTGTAAGGTGGGTGGGTGTGGTAGGTGGTGTGGGTGGGTGTGTAAGGTGGGTGTGGTGTGGGTAGGTGTGAGTGTGAAGGTGGGTGGTGTAAGGTAGGTGAGGTGTAAGGTAGGTGAGGTGTAAGGTAGGTGGGTGTAAGGGAGGTGAGTGTAAGGTGGGTGGTGTGGGTGGGTGGTGTGGGTAGGTGGTGTAGGGTAGGTGGTGTAAGGTGGGTGGTGTAAGGTAGGTGGGTGTAAGGTAGGTGGGTGTGGGTGGTGGTGTGGGTAGGTGTGAGGTGTAAGGTGGGTGGGTGTGGGTGGGTGGTGTTGGGTGGGTGGTGTAAGGTGGGTGGTGTAGGTGGGTGGAGTGTAAGGTGGGTGAGGTGTAGGTGGGTGGTGTAGGTGGGTGGGGTGGGTAGGTGAGTGTAGGTAGGTGGGTGTAGGTAGGTGAGGTGTAAGGTAGGTGGTTGGGGTGTAAGGTGGGTGAGTGTAAGGTTAGGTGAGTGTAAGGTAGGTGGTGTAAGGTATGGGTGAGTGTAAGGTGAGTGTAAGGTAGGTGAGTGTAAGGTAGGTGGGTGTAAGGTGGTGAGTGTAAGGTAGGTAGTGTAAGGTAGGTGAGTGTAAGGTAGGTGAGTGTAAGGTAGGTGTGTGGTGTAAGGTGGGTGAGGTGTAAGGTGGGTGGTGTAGGGTAGGTGAGTGTAAGGTAGGTGAGTGTAGGTGGGTGAGTGTAAGGTGGTGAGTGTAAGGTGGGTGGTGTAGGTAGGTGGGGTGGGTAGTGGTGTGGGTGGGTGGGTGTAGGTGGTGGTGTAGGTGGGTGTAAGGTAGGTGTGTGGGTGGGTGGTGTAAGGTAGGTGGAGTAAGGTGGGTGGTTGTAAGGATGGGTGGTGTAAGGTGGGTGGTGTGGTGGGTGGTTGTGGGTAGGTGAGTGTGGGTAGGTGGTGTAAGGTAGGTGAGTGTAAGGTAGGTGAAGGTGTAGGGTGGGTGGGGTGTAAGGTGGGTGAGTGTAAGGTGGGTGAGTGTAAGGTGGGTGGGTGTAAGGTAGGTGAGTGTGGTAGGTGAGTGTAGGTAGGTGAGTGTAAGGTAGGTGGGTGTGTAGGTAGGTGAGTGTAAGGTAGGTGAGTGTAAGGTAGGTGGGTGTAAGGTAGGTGAGTGTAAGGTGAGTGTAAGGTAGGTGGAGGTAGGTGGTGTAAGGTGGGTGGTGTAAGGTAGGTGAGTGTAGGTAGGTGGTGTAGGTAGGTGAGGTGTAAGGTGGTGAGTGTAAGGTAGGTGTGAGTGTAAGGTGGGTGGTGTAAGGTAGGTGAGGTGTAGGTAGGTGAGTTAGGGTAGGTGGTGTAAGGTGGGTGGTGTGGGTAGGTGGGTAAGGTGGGTAGGGTGGGTTGGGGTGGGGGTGTAAGGTGTGGGGTGAAGGTAGGTGAGGGTGGGTGGTGTAAGGTAGGTGGAGTGTAAGGTGGTGGGTGTAAGGTGGGTGAGAGTGTAGGTGGGTAGTGTAAGAGTAGGAGGGGTGTAAGGTAGGTGAGGTGTAAGGTAGGTGGGTGTAAGGTAGGTGAGGTGTAAGGTAGGTGGTGTAGGTAGGTGAGTGTAAGGTAGGTGGTGTAGGTAGGGGAGGTGTAAAGGTAGGTGGAGTGTAAGGAGGTGAGTGTAAGGTAGGTGGAGTGTAAGGTAGGTGAGTGTAAGGTAGGTGAGGTGTGGGTAGGTGAGTGTAAGGTAGGTGAGGTGTAAGGTAGGTGGGTGTAGGGTAGGTGAGTGTAAGGTAGATGGTGTAGGTAGGTGAGTGTAAGGTGGGTGGTGTAAGGTAGGTGAGTGTAAGGTGGGTGGTGTGAGGTGGTAGGTGAGTGTAAGGTGGGTGGTGTAAGGTGGGTGGTGTAAGGTGGGTGGTGTAAGGTAGGTGAGTGTAAGGGTGGGTGTAAGGTGGTGGTGTAGGTAGGTGGGTGTAAGGTAGGTGAGTGTAAGGTAGGTGGTGCAAGATGGGTGGTGTAAGGTAGGTGGTGTAGATAGGTGGTGTAAGGTAAGGTGAGTGTAAGGTGGGTGGTGTAAGGTAGGTGGTGTAAGGGTAGGTGGTTGGGTAGGTGGGGTAAGTAGGTGTGGGTGGGTGGTGTAAGGTGGGTAGGTGAGTGTAAGGTGGGTGAGTGTAGGTAGGTGGTGTAAGGTGGGTGGTGTAAGGTAGGTGGTGTAGGTAGGTGAGTGTGGGTAGGTGGTGTAAGGTAGGTGAGTGTAAGGTAGGTGGTGTAAGGTAGGTGAGTGTGGTAGGTGGTGTAGGTAGGTGGTGTAGGTGGGTGGTGTGGGTGGGTGAGTGTAGGTGGGTGTAAGGTGGGTGAGTGTGGGTGGGTGGGTGTGGGTGGGTGGTGTAAGGTGGTGAGTGTAGGTGGGTGGTGTAGGTGGGTGGTGTAAGGTGGGTGGTGTGGTGGGTGGTGTAGGTGGGTGGAGTAGAAGGTGGGTGAGTGTAAGGTAGGTGGTGTAGGTGGGTGAGTGTAAGGTAGGGTGTGGTGTAAGGTGGGGTGGTGCAAGGTAGGTGTAAGGTAGGTGAGTGTAAGGTAGGTGGGTGTAAGGTAGGTGTGGAGTGCAAGGGAGGTGGTGTGGGTGGGTGGAGTGTAAGGTGGTGTAAGGTGAGGTGAGTGTAAGGTAGGTGGGTGTAAGGTGGGTGAGTGTAAGGTGGGTAGTGTAAGTAGGAGAGTGTAAGGTAGGTGAGTGTAAGGTAGGTGAGTGTGAGTAGGTGGTGTAAGGTAGGTGAGGTGTAGGTGGGTGGTGTAAGGTAGGAGGGTGAAGGTAGGTGAGTGTAAGGTAGGTGAGTGTAAGGTAGGTGGGTGTAAGGTAGGTGGGTGTAAGGTAGGTGAGTGTAAGGTAGGTGAGTGTAAGGTAGGTGTGGTGTAAGGTAGGTGAGGTGTAAGGTAGGTGAGGTGTAAGGTATCATCTCCCCTCTTCCCACCTGTCCTTCTCTCCTCCTCCTTCTACCCTTCCTCCCACCTCCTCCTACACCCACCCTCCTCCCTCTTCCTTATCCTTCTCCCACTCTTCCTCCTCTTCCTCCTCCTTCTTCCTCCTCCTCCTCCTTATAACCAATAGAGTAAACGGCTCCTGCCTTGACAGCTATTAAGATCAAGACAAAGATAACAATTAGAAAGACAGGGAAGACAAATAAAGGTTTAAGAAAGAGAGAGAGAGCAATGAAGACAAGAAGAGACGTGACCAGGAGTTCGAACGAGGTACCCGAGATGAGAAGTTGACGTGGAGTTACGAGTCCAGTATCCGCTTACTGTGTGGGTTCGGGTACAGTTTGGGTTAGGTTAGGTTAGGTTAAGTTTAGGTTAGGTTGGGTTAGGTTAGGTTATGTTAGGTTAGGTTATGTTAGGTTAGGTTATGTTAGGTTAGGTTATGTTAGGTTATATTATGTTAGGATAGGTTAGGTTAGGTTAAGTTTAGGTTAGGTTGGGTTATGTTGGGTTATGTTGGGTTATATTATGTTAGGATAGGTTAGGTTAAGTTTAGGTTATGTTAAGTTGGGTCAGGTAGGTCAGTTTATGCTAGGTTAGGATATGTTAGGTCAGGTCAGGTCAGTTTATGTTAGGTTAGGTTACGCTGGACACCCTAATCTCACACTATCCCTCCAGGTGGCGTGGACGCATTACGGACAGTCTGGACGGGCCGTGTTGACGGTGGACGCTGCGGTCATCACCAGGAATGAGCGGGTGTCCCTGGTGAAGGAACAAGGGGGCGCCGCCTGGTCCCTGGTCATCAGAAACGTGACCACTAGTGACGAGGGCGACTACCTGTGTCAGGCCAACACTGTCCCGCCCAAGAAACTCTACTTCCATCTCTCTGTCCTGGGTGAACTGTCTGTCTGTCTGTCTGTCTGTCTGTCTATCTGTCTGTGTGTGTGTGTGTGTGTGTGTGTGTGTGTGTGTGTGTGTGTGTGTGTCTGTCTGCCTGTTTCTGTGTGTTTGTCTGTGTCAAGCCTCTCTCTCTCTCTCTCTCTCTCTCTCTCTCTCTCTCTCTCCCTCTCTCTCTCTCTCTCTCTCTCTCTCGTTCTCTCTCTCTCTCTCTCTCTCCCTCTCTCTCTCTCTCTCTCTCTCTCTCTCTCTCTCTCTCTCTCTCTCTCTCTCTCTCTCTCTCTCTCTCATGAGCCAGAATCTATTTAAAGCTTTTAGTGATGTCAATAAGACCTTACCTGACAATGGTGTGTATTAATAGACGGCTGTTGGCAGGTGTGGACTTACCTGTTCACTGAGTCTGCTAATTAGTGGAGTCTCATATGGATTTAACACCTTTATTATCATCATCACCATCATCATCATCCTCACTACCATCATCACCATCATCATCATCATTATCATCATCACTACCATCATCATCATCACTACCATCATCATCTTCACTACCATCATCATCATCATCTTCACTACCATCATCACCATCATCATCATCATCATCATCACTACCATCATCATCATCACTACCATCATCATCTTCACTACCATCACCATCATCATCATCATCATCATCACCATCACCATCATCATCATCATCCCACCACCACCATCACCATCACTACTACATCACCACCACCTACCATCATCATCACCACCACCATCACCATCACTACCATCACCACCACCACCACCACCACCATCATCATCACCACCACCACCATCATCATCACCACCATCACCATCATCACCATCACCACCACCATCACCACTATTGCCCATCACCTCCATCACCCATTGGTTAAGTTGGGTTAAATTACGTTTTTGGTTAAGTTAAATTAGGTTAGGTTAAATTAGGTTTTTTTTAGGTTAAATTACATAGGTTGGATTAGGTTAAATTAGGTTTAGGTTAGGTTAAATGAGGTTAAGCTAGATGTTAAACCTCTAGGTCGTTTAACATTGTTCCTGTGTGTTGACAGTGGCGCCCCGGATCACCTCCCCGCCAAAGGAGCAGGTGGTGGGGGAGGGTGACGAGGTGGTGCTCAGGTGTGGTGCGACAGGTGACCCCCATCCCTCCCTCACCTGGCGCAGGGAGGACCAGGCGCCATTCTCCCTCAACCAATCCTCAGGTAAGTCACGGAGGGAGGGAGGGTGAGAAGTAGGGAGGGTACTATGGAGGGAAGGAGGGTTGAAGGGAGAGAGGAGGAAGGGTGGGGAGGTGGGAGGGAAGGAAGGGAGTAGGGACTGAGGCAAGGATGGAGGGTGAAAGGAGGGAGGGTGGGGAGGTGGGAGGGTAGGATGGAGGGAAGGAAGTAGGGAAGGTTGAAGGGAGAGAGGAGGAAGGGTGGGGAGGTGGGAGGGAGGGAAGGAGGTAGGGACTAAGGAAGGGCTCGAGGGAGAGCGGAGGGATGGGTTCATATCTCCGTCCCCTCCCTCACACCACCATTACGTCTCCAACCCCTTGTATCTCCAACAGTGGTGGAGGAGGCCGCTGGGCCGCGTCTCCACCTGTCCTCCGTGACCCGGGAGACCAGCGGAGCCTTCCTATGTGTGGCCTCTAACGGCGTGCCTCCAGCTGTCTCCGCCCGAGTCCAGGTCTCCGTCAAGTGTGAGTACTTCCCCCTGAGACACACACACACACACACACACACTCACACACACACACACACAGGAACACAACCCTCTGGAGATCAACTTCAACAACCCGAATATATGAGACAGACTCACCTAAATTTTTGGCTCACTGGACATGGTAGATAGCTCTTGGCTCACGGCTCATCTCACCCAATAACTCACGTCTTGCCAACTCTTTCGTCTCACACCTTAGCTCAGGTCTCGTCTCACGCTTTGGCTTATGTCTCGCCTCACGCCTTGGCTCATGTCTCGTCTCACTCCTTGGCTCATGTCTCGTCTCACGCCTTTGCTCATGTCTCACCTCACGCCTTGGCTCATGTCTCGCCTCACGCCTTGGTTCATGTCTCGTCTCACGCCTTGGCTTATGTCTCGCCTCACTCCTTGGCTCATGTCTCGTCTCACGTCTTGACTCATGTCTCGTCTCACGTCTTGGCTCATGTCTCACCTCACGCCTTGGCTCATGTCTCGCGCCTCACGCCTTGGCTCATGTCTCACCTTACGTCTTGGCTCATGCCGTCTCACGTCTTGGCTCATGTCTCACCTCACGCCTTGGCTCTGTCTCACCTCGCGTCTTGACTCATGTGTCTCTCGTCTCGTCTTGGCTCATGTCTCACACACGCCTTGGCTCCAGGTCTCGCCTCGTCTTGGCTCATGTCTCACCTCGTCTTGGCTCATGTCTCACCTCCGTCTTGGCTCATGTCTCACCTCCCGTCTTGGCTCATGTCTCACCTCACGCCTTGGCCATGTCTCTCGCCTCGTCTTGGCTCATGTCTCACCTCCGTCTTGGCTCATGTCTCACCTCACGCCTTGGCTCATGTCTTGTCTCCTCCTTGGCTCATGTCTCGCCTCATGTCTTGACTCATGTCTCGTCTGACGCCTTGGCTCATGTCTCACCTCACGTCTTGGCTCATGTCTCACCCTCCCGTCTTGGCTCATGTCTCACCCTCACGTCTTGGCTCATATCTCACCTCCCGTCTTGACTCATGTCTCACCTCACGTCTTGGCTCTGTCTCACCTCGTCTTGGCTCATGTCTGCCTCACGCCTTGGCTCATGTCTCACCTCCGCCTTGGCTCATGTCTCACCTCACGTCCTTGACTCATGTCTCACCTCACGCCTTGGCTCATGTCTCACCTCACGCCTTGGCTCATGTCTCACCTCACGCCTTGGCTCATGTCTCACCCCCGTCTTGACTCATGTCTCACCTCTCCGTCTTGGCTCATGTCTCACCTCACGTCTTGGCTCATGTCTCACCTCACGCCTTGGCTCATGTCTCACCTCACGCCTTGGCTCATGTCTCACCTCACGCCTTGGCTCATGTCTCACCTCACGTCTTCGGCTCATGTGTCTCACCTCACGTCTTGGCTCATGTCTCACCTCACGTCTTGACTCATGTCTCACCTCACGCCTTGGCTCATGTCTCCTGCCTCACGCCTTGGCTCATGTCTCGCCTCACGCCTTGTCATGTCTCACCACCTCCCATCTTGGCTCATGTCTCACCTCACGTCTTGACTCATGTGTCTCACCTCAGCTCTGTCTCACCCCTCACGCCTTGGCTCATGTCATGCCTCACGCCTTGCAACCATGTCTCCACCTCGTTTTTGGCTCATGTCGCCTCACGTCTTGGCTCATGTCTCACCTCACGTCTTGACTCCTTCTCACCTCACGCCTTGGCTCATGTCTCGCCTCACGCCTTGGCTCATGTCTCACCTCACGTCTTGGCTCATGTCTCACCTCACGTCTTGGCTCATGTCGTCTCTCGCCTTGGCTCATGTCTCACCTCACGCCTTGGCTCATGTCTCTCACCTCACGCCTTGGCTCTGTCTCACCTCCCGTCTTGGCTCATGTCTCGTCTCTCGCCTTGGCTCATATATCTCGCCCTCACGCCTTGGCTCATGTCTCACTTCACGCGGCTCATGTCTGCCCTCGTCTTCGGCTCATGTCTCGTCTCTCTCGCCTTGGCTCATGTCTCGCCTCACGCCTTGCCTCATGTCTCCTGCCTCACGTCTTGGCTCATGTCTCACCTCCCGTCTTGGCTCATGTCTCGTCTCTCGCCTTGGCTCATGTCTCGCCTCCGCCTTGGCTCATGTCTCACCTCACGTCTTAGCTCATGTCTCACCTCACGTCTTGGCTCATGTCTCGTCTCTCGCCTTGGCTCATGTCTCACCTCCGCCTTGGCTCATGTCTCGCCTCACGCCTTGCTCATGTCTCGCCTCGTCTTGGCTCATGTCTCACCTCACGTTTTGGCTCATGTCTCGTCTCTCGCCTTGGCTCATGTCTCACCTCCGCCTTGGCTCATGTGTCTCACCTCACGCCTTGGCTCATGTCTCACCTCCCCGTCTTGGCTCATGTCTCGTCTCTCGCCTTGGCTCATGTCTCGCCTCACGCCTTGGCTCATGTCCTCACTTCACGCCTTGGCTCATCTCTCTCACCTCACGTCTTGACTCATGTCTCGTCTCTCGCCTTGGCTCATGTCTCGCCTCACGCCTTGGCTCATGTCTCACCTCACGTCTTGGCTCATGTCTCACCTCACGTCTTGGCTCATGTCTCCATCGCCTTGGCTCATGCTCTCGCCTCACGCCTTGGCTCATATGTCTCACCTCACGTCTTGGCTCATATTATCGCACCTCCCGTCTTGGCTCATGTCTCGTCTCTCGCCTTGGCTCATGTCTCACCTCACGCCTTGGCTCATGTCTCGCCCCTCACGCCTTGGCTCATGTCTCGCCCTCACGTCTTGGCTCATGTCTCACCTCCCGTCTTGACTCATGTCTCACCTCACGCCTTGGCTCATGTCTCGCCTCCGCCGTGGCTCATGTCTCACCTCACGTCTTGGCTCTGTCTCACCTCACGCCTTGGCTCATGTCTCGTCTCGCCTTGTCGCTTCTGTCTCACCTCACGCCTTGGCTCATGTGCTCTCACCTCACGTCTTGACTCATGTCTCACCTGCACGCTTGGCTCATCTCACCTCACGTCTTGGCTCATGTCTCACCTCACGTCTTGGCCTCGCTGTCTCACCTCCGTCTTGACTCATGTCTCCACCTCACGTCTTGACTCATGTCTCGCCTCCGCCTTGGCTCATGTCTCACCTCACGTCTTGACTCATGTCTCACCTCACGTCTTGACTCATGTCTCCTCACGCCTTGGCTCATGTCTCTCACCTCCGTCTTGGCTCATGTGTGTCTCACCTCACGTCTTGACTCATGTCTCACCTCACGCATTGGCTCATGCTCTGCGCCTCACACTTGTGACTCATGTCTCACCTCACGCATTAGCTCATGTCTCGCCTCACGTCTTGACTCATGTCTTTCACGCCTCACGCCTTGGCTCATGTCTCGTCTCACGTCTTGGCTCATGTCTCACCTCACGCATTGGCTCATGTCTCGCCCCTCACGCCTTGACTCATGTCTCCTCACGCCTTGGCTCATGTCTCTCATGCCTTGGCTCATGTCTCACCTCACGCCTTGGCTCATGTCTCACCTCACGTCTTGGCTCCTGTCTCGTCTCTCGCCTTGGCTCATATCTCGCCTCACGCCTTGGATCATGTCTCACTTCACGCCTTGGCTCATGTCTCACCTCACGTCCGGCTCATGTCCTCGTCTCTCGCCTTGGCTCATGTCTCGCCTCACGCCTTGCCTCATGTCTCACCTCACGTCTTGGCTCATGTCTCACCTCGTCTTGGCTCATGTCTCGTCTCTCGCCTTGGCTCATGTGTCTCGTCTCACGCCTTGGCTCATGTCTCACCTCCGTCTTGGCTCATGTGTCTCACCTCACGTCTTGGCTCATGTCTCGTCTCTCGCCTTGGCTCATGTCTCACCTCACGCCTTGGCTCATGTCTCGCCTCACGCCTTGGCTCGCTGTCTCGCCTCGTCTTGGCTCATATCTCACCTCACGTCTTGTCATGTCTCGTCTCTCGCCTTGGCTCATGTCTCACCTCACGCCTTGGCTCCTTGTCTCCACTCACGCCTTGGCTCTTCATCTCCACCCCCTCACGTCTTGGCTCATGTCTCGTCTCTCGCCTTGGCTCATGTCTCGCCTCACGCCTAGCCAGCTCATGTCTCCTTCACGCCTTGGCTCATCTCACCTCACGTCTTGGCTCATGTCTCGTCTCTCGCCTTGGCTCATGTCTCGCCTCACGCCTTGGCTCATATCTCACCTCACGTCTTGGCTCATGTCTCACCTCGTCTTGGCTCATGTCTCGTCTCGCCTTGGCTCATGTCTCGCCTCACGCCTTGGCTCATGTCTCACCTCACGTCTTGGCTCATGTCTCACCTCACGTCTTGGCTCATGTCTCGTCTCGCCTTGGCTCATGTCTCACCTCACGCCTTGGCTCATGTCTCGCCTCTACACTTGGCTCATGTCTCTCCTTTTCCGTCTTGGCTCATGTCTCTCACCTCACGTCTTGACTCATGTCTCACCTCCGCCTTGGCTCATGTCTCGCCTCACGCCGTGGCTCATGTCTCACCTCACGTCTTGGCTCATGTCTCACCTCACCTGGCTCATGTCTCGTCTCTCGCCTTAGCTCTCGCTGTCTCACCTCACGCCTTGGCTCATGTCTCACCTCACGTCTTGACCTCATATCTCACCTCACGCCTTGGCTCATGTGTCTCACCCCTCACGTCTTGGCTCATGTCTCACCTCCACGTCTTGGCTCATGTCTCACCTCACCTCTTGACTCATGTCTCACCCCTCCCGTTTTGACTCATGTGCTCTCACCTCGTCTTGACTCATGTCTCGCCTCACGCCTTGGCTCATGTCTCACCTCACGTCTTGACTCATGTCTCACCTCTTGTCTTGGCTCATGTGTCTCACCTCACGCCTTGGCTCATGTCTCCACCTCACGTCTTGACTCATGTCTCACCTCACGTCTTGACTCATGTCTCACCCCTCACTGCATTAGCTCATATGTCTCGCCTCCGCCTTGGCTCTGTCTCACCTCACGCATTGGCTCATGTCTCGCCTCACGTCTTGACTCATGTCTCGCCTCACGCCTTGGCTCATGTCTCGTCTCACGTCTTGACTCATGTCTCACCTCACGCATTGGCTCATGTCTCGCCTCACGCCTTGGCTCATGTCTCACCTCACGCCTTGGCTCATGTCTCACCTCATGCCTTGGCTCATGTCTCGCCTCACGCCGTGGCTCATGTCTCACTTCACGTCTTGACTCATGTCTCACCCTCACGCCTTGGCTCGTCTCGCCTCACGCCTTGACTCATGTCTCACCCCTCACGCCTTGGCTCATGTCTCGCCTCACGCCTTGACTCATGTGTCTCACCTCACGCCTTGTCATGTCTCACCTCACGCCTTGACTCATGTCTCACCTCACGCCTTGGCTCATGTGTCTCGCCTCACACGCCTTGACTCATGTCTGATCCACGCCTTGGCTCATGTCTCACCTCACGCCTTGACTCATGTCTCACCTCACGTCTTGGCTCATGTGTCTCACCTGCGCCTTGGCTCATGTCTCGCCCTCACGCCTTGGCTCATGTCTCACCTCACGCCTTGGCTCATGTCTCAATTATCTAGGGAGGTGCGAGACAAGTAAGCGCTCTAAGGTCATCAAAGTAACCACAGGTCATTGATGATAACATTTGATTAAGATCATTGTCTCTCTCCAGCTCTACCCCTGAGAGAGAGAGAGAGAGAGAGAGGTGAGTATTTCAGCTTACCCTCTCTCTCTCTCTCTCTCTCTCTCTCTCTCTCTCTCTCCCCAGTCCTGCATATTATCACACTCTCCCTGTCCTTTTCTTCCTGTCCTCTCACCGCCGCTCACTCTCCCCCCCGCCCTCACTCTCCCCGCCCTCACTCTCCCCTCCCTCATTCTCCCCCGCCCCTCCTCTCCCCGCCCCTCCCTCCCCTCTCCTTCCTCTTTATTCCTCTCAAACCCTCCTCCTGCTCATCTCTCCCCTCTCTCCCTCCCCTCCCCTCCTCCCCCTCCCTCCCTCCCCTCCCTCCCCTCTCCCTTCTGTATATAATCATCAAGACTTCCCCCTACCCACACACATCTTCACTCACATTTTCCATCATCAGAACTCGAGGCCTTGGCGCTCTATTTGTGGATGACATTCTGGGGTATATTGGTGGTGGGATGGTAATTGCGGGATAGTGGTGGGATAGTGGTGGGATGGTGGGATAATTGGTGGGATGGTGAATGGGATAATTGGTGGGATGGTGGTGGGATGGTGGTGGGACAGTGGGATGGTGAGGTGGGATGGTGGTGGGATGGTGGTGGGATGGTGGTGGGATGGTGGTGGGATGATGGTGCGACCCCAGTGGTGGAGATAGTGGTGGGATGGCAGTGGTGGGATGACCAATGGGATAATTGGTGGGATAGTGTTAGGGGTGGCAGTGGGATGATATTAATTGGAGATGGTGGTGGGATAGTGGTGGGATGGTGGTGGGATGGTGGTGGGATAATTGGGATGGTGGTGGGATAGTGGGATGGTGGTGGGATGGTGGTAGGATAGTGGTGGAGTGGTGGTGCAGGATAGTGGTGGGATAATTGGTGGGATAGTGGTGGGATGGTGGTGGGATAGTGGTGGTGGGATGGTGGTGGGATGGTGGTGGGATAGTGAACGGGATGGTGGTGGGATAGTGTTGGGATGGTGGTGCGGGATAGTGGTGGGATGGTGGTGGGATAGTGGTGGGATGGTGGTGGGACCAGTGGTGGGATGGTGGTGGGATAGTGGTGGGATAGTGGTGGGATGGTGGTGGGATAGTGGTGGGATGGTGGTGGGATAATTAATTAAGGATAATTGGTGGGATAGTGGGATGGTGAAATTGCAGGATGGTGGTGGGATAGTGGGATGGTGGTGGGATGGTGGTGGGATAGCGGTGGGATAGTGGTGGGATGGTGGTGGGATAGTAGTGGGATGGTGGTGGGTTGTGGCGGTGTTGGGATGATGGTGGGACGGTGGTGGGATAGTGGTGGGATGGTGGTGGGATAGTGGTGGATGGTGGTGGGATGGTGGTGCAGGATAATTGGGATGGTGGTGGGATGGTGGTGGGATAGTGGGATGGTGGTGGGATGGTGGTGGGATGGCGGTGGGATAGTGGTGGGATGGTGGTGCAGGATAGTAGTGGGATGGTGGTGGGATGGCGGTGGGATGGTGGTGGTGGGATGGTGGTGGGATGATGGTGAGATAATTGGGATAGTGGTGGGATGGTGTGGTGGGATAATTGTGGTGGGATAATAGTGGATGTGGTGGGATGGTGGTGGGATAGTGGGATGGTGGTGGGATGGTGGTGTGGGATGGCAGTGGGATGGTGGTGCGTGGTGGTGGGATAGTGGTAGGGATGGTGGTGCGGGATAGTGGTGGGATGGTGGTGGGATGGTGGTGGGATAGTGGGATGGTGGTGGGATGGTGGTGGGATAATTAAGGGATGGTGAACTGGGATGGTGGTGGGATGGTGGTGGGATGGCAGTGATGGGGATGGTGGTGGGATGGTGGTGGGATGATGGTGGGATGGTGGTGGGATAGTGGTGGGATGGCATTGGGATAGTGTGGTGGGATGGCGGTGGGATAGTGGTGGGATGGTGTGGATAGTGGGATGGTGGTGGGATGGTGGTGGGATAGTGGGATGGTGGTGGGATGGTGGTGGGATGAAGTGGGATGGTGAGGATGGATGTATGGAGGTGATAATGGAATGGAAGTGATGGTGGGATGGAACACAGCAAGGGGTTCTGTTTTCCCTCTATTTTATTACTCCCTCTCTCTCTCTCCCTCTCATACCTCCCTCTCTCTCCCTCCCTCTCCCTCCCTCCCTCACCCATCACCTTTTAGAAATAGCTCCACTAATTTTCAAACTGCTTCTTCATAATGTTATATAAACCAACACTGACAAAGTTTCATTCCAATCCGCCAAGTGTTTTTCAAGTTATGGCCAAGAGGAACAACACCCAGATGACGTCAAGGAGGTGGTGTGTGTGTGTGTGTGTGTGTGTGTGTGTGTGTGTGTGTGTGTGTGTGTGTGTGTGTGTGTGTGTGTGTTTCTCATCGTCTAAGTCCTCCGCTACAATAAGTCTTAACCGTCTTAGTTGTTAAGGCTCCATAAGACGCCATCAAGCGCCTCAATACGACACCTTTAACGCGGTATTAAGGTAATGCGACATAATTTAATGATTCATATTGCGAATTAAACCAAACCTTTGATGTTTAATCTGAGTTAGTTTCCTCTCTAAACAAGGACAAAGCTAAAGTGAATAGCTGAGTGGTTTAACACACACACACACACACACACACACACACACACACACACAGATATAGTTATTACACTAATCATGAATAGTTATGTAATAGCGATAATTTCTATGTATTTTTCTAAACTTGTAATTAACCATAGACAATTATATAGCTGGTCCGTGGGTCGCTGGGGGCCGGGCACTCCTAGTCGACCCAGCTGTAAATGGATTAGTTGTGTGTGTGTGTGTGTGTGTGTGTGTGTGTGTGTGTGTGTGTGTGTGTGTGTGTGTGTGTGTGTGTTAGGTTTTCAGGCATTTTGTGTGCACAGTCAGTAAAAAATGTCTCTGTAGCTGTAGTTTATATTATTGTATTATGTAGCTGATATATTATGTCAACAACAACAAAAACAACAACCACAACAAAAATAACAACAGCAACAATAAATACTTCAGCAATAACAAACAAAAACAAGAACAATAATAATAATAACAACAACAAAAATAACTATAATAACAAGAACAAAAGTAATAACAATAACAACAATAACAACAACAGTACCAACCACAAGAACAATAACAAAAACAAGAACAATAACAATTAAAACAAGTATTTCATAATAATCCTCCCAGTACGTGTCATTATATTACAGTCAATAGTTCATAATACATTTTGTACATTACAGTCGCGCCCGAGATGGTGGAGGAGGGCGGTGGCGTGGTGTGGGCGTGGGTGGGGGCGCGGGCAGTGTTGGCGTGTCAGTACCGCGCCTGGCCCGCCCCTACTGTCACCTGGACCAGAGACGGCGTCATACAGGGTCAGTACCTAACCTAACCTAACCTAACCTAACCTAACCTAACCTAACCTAACCTAGCATAACCTAACCTAGCATAACCTAACCTAACCTAACCTAACCTAACCTAACCTAACCTAGCATAACCTAACCTAACCTAACCTAACCTAACCTAACCTAACCTAACCTAACCTAGCATAACCTCAGCAAAATTAAAATATATATGAATCCATCTCTTCAAAAAAGGATAAAATATTAATAATAATAATAATAATAATAATAATAATAATAATAATAATAATAATAATTATAATAATAATAATAATAATAATAATAATAATAATTATAATAATAATAATAATAATAATGACGATGATGATGATAATAGACACGCCTCATTGTCTCCTCCAGGGGGTTCAGTCGAGAGCTGGGAGGCCCTTGGAGGTTCGGGTAGCTCCAAATTAGTGATACCATCCGTGGGGCCTCAGAGCCTTGGAGTCTACCGCTGCCAAGTGACCAACCCTCTCGGTACCAGCTCCAGTCAGCACAACCTCTTGGGTGAGTGTCTGTCTATCTGTCTGTCTGTCTGTCTGTCTGTCTGTCTGTCTGTCTGTTGAACTGTCTGTCTGTCTGTTGAACTGTCTGTCTGTCTGTCTGTTGAACTGTCTGTCTCTCTGTTGAACTGTCTGTCTGTCTGTCTGTTGAACTGTCTGTCTCTCTGTTGAACTGTCTGTCTGTCTGTTGAATTGACCTCGTAAATTTATTTACAGAATCATTAGACACGGGAGTTGTGACAGACTTGTGGAAACAGGCAAATGTAGTACCCATATTCAAAAAGGGAGAGAGAGCATCAGTGTCAAATTACTGGCCGATCAGTTTGACGTCAGTAGTGGGGAAATTTCTTGAATCAATTATAGCAGATGGCATCCGATCGCATCTAGAGAAAAGCAAATTAATCTACGACTCTCAACATGGGTTTACAAAGGGAAAATCTTGTCTAACAAATCTGTTGACGTTTTTTAGGAAAGTCTTCGAGGTAGTAGTTAATGACGAAAATTACGATGTTATTTACTTAGACTTTGGCAAAGCTTTTGACAGAGTACCGCATCAGAGGCTTCTGAGAAAAGTTAAGGCTCATGGTATCGAGGGGAAAGTTTTAAATTGGATAAAATCATGGCTCACCGATAGAACACAGAGGGTCAGCGTAGATGGTGTTAAATCTGAGTGAGGCCGTGTAACCAGTGGGGTTCCCCAGGGGTCAGTACTAGGCCCACTCTTGTTCATAATCTACATAAACGATCTAGATACTGGGATCAGCAGTGACATAAGCAAGTTTGCGGATGACACCAAAATAGGGCGGCAGATTAATTCAGGGCAGGATGCAAATGCATTACAGGAGGATCTAAATAAACTGCAGGGGTGGTCTGAAAAATGGCAAATGAAATTCAACACCAGCAAGTGCAGCGTACTTATATTGGAAGAACAAATACTGTCAATGTATACAGCCTTAACAACATCAACCTAGAGAAGTCGACTTGTCAAAGAGACCTAGGGGTACTTGTAAGCCCGGACCTACGGCCTAGAAAACAGTGCGTTAATGTTCGAAATAAGGCAAACAGAGTATTGGGTTTTATATCTAGAAGTGTAAGTAATAAGAGTGCAGAGGTCTTATTGCAACTATATCTTGCGCTAGTCAGGCCGCACTTCGATTATGCGGTTCAGTTCTGGTGCCCTTATTATAGAATGGATATCAATTCACTAGAGTCGGTGCAGCGAAGAATGACGAAAATGATTCCGGGACTTAGAAACCTTCCATATCAGGATAGGTTAAAGAAACTAAACTTGCATTCCCTAGAAAGACGAAGAGTGCGGGGAGATATGATAGAAGTATTTAAGTGGGTGAAAGGTATCAATAAAGGGGATATAGATAAAGTTCTTATAATATCTGAGCAGGATAGGACTCGGAGCAACGGATTTAAGTTGGATAAGTTTAGGTTTAGGAGGGAGATAGGAAGGAACTGGATCACCAATAGGGTGGTAGACGAGTGGAACAAGCTTAGCAACTCTGTAGTAAGTGCTGGAACGCTGGAAAGTTTTAAAAGGAGGCTAGATAGATTCATGGATGATAGAGAGTGGTAGTAACTCTCGACAGGAGCTGCCATGCACAGGCCAACCGGCCTATTGCAGACTCCTTATTTTCTTATGTTCTTATGTTCTATGTCTGTTGAACTGTCTGTCTGTCTATCTGTTGAACTGTCTGTCTGTCTATCTGTTGAACTGTCTGTCTGTCTATCTGTTGAACTGTCTGTCTGTCTATCTGTTTATTTGTTTGTCTGTCCTCCTGTGGATGAACGGCTCTAGTCAACTTAGATATAAATGGGAAACCTACTTTTTCAGTCAGGTCAGGTCAGGCCAGGTCAGGTTAAGTTAAGTTAGGTCAGGTCAGGTCAGGTTAAGTTAAGTCAGGTCAGGTCAGGTCAGGTTAAGTTAAGTTAGGTCAGGTCAGGTCAGGTTAAGTAAGTTAGGTCAGGTCAGGTCAGGTTAAGTTAGGTCAGGTCAGGTTAAGTTAAGTCAGGTCAGGTTAAGTTAAGTTAGGTCAGGTCAGGTTAAGTTAAGTTAGATCAGGTCAGGTCAGGTTAGATCAGGTTAAATTAGGTTAGGTTTGGTTAGTTTAGGATAGGTTAGAATTAGGTTAGGTTAGGTTAGGTCAGGTTAGGTTAGGTTAGGTTAGGTTAGGTTAGGTTAGGTTAGGTTACCAAAAGTCATAAATATATTTCTTCACCGTGCTGTTTGAGTTGCCAGACGCTTCCTCTTGTTTAGTTTCCTGTTTCTTTCTCACTCCCAGTAGGTGAGAGAGTGAGCTAACTCACTTCTCCTCCGGCTAAGTGTGTGTCAGACTCGGCACGAAACAGATCAATCAAGTTGTTTTTGCTTGGAGAGAGAGAGAGAGAGAGAGAGAGAGAGAGAGAGAGAGAGAGAGAGAGAGAGAGAGAGAGATCAGGTGTGCGCGTGTAAGCCGGTTTTCGGTTTTGATGTGCTTGTGCTTGTGCTTGAGAGAGAGAGAGAGAGAGAGAGAGAGAGAGAGAGAGAGAGAGAGAGAGAGACCCTCAGCCCCCAACAAAAGGGATTGGATCAATCAGAAGATGCTGAGGTAGTTTGTAATCCCTTTATGGGGAGAGGGAGGAGGCAAAAATGGCTAATCAGGGGGCTGCCATCCACTTCCTCCCTGCTGAATGACGGTAACACACTGTTGATACCCACACACACACACACACACACACACACCTACACACACACACACACACACCTACACACACACACACACACACACACACACACACACACACACCTACACACACACACAAACCTACACAGACACAGACATAATACACACACGCACACATACGCACAACGCTCACACACACACACACACACACACACAGACACACACACACTGACACTCACACACACACACACACTCTACACACACACATGCATACCTACACACACACACACACACAATAAAGGGTTAGGATTTCTGTTAGGGTCTGGGTTATGTTAAATTAGGCAAACTTAGGTTAATTTAGATTAAATTGGGCTAAGTTAAGTTACATCAAGTTGGCCCTAACCTAACCTAACCTAACCAAGACAGATTTTTCTTCATCGTCTTAATTAAATCCGGCTGTAAGTGTAATATCATCCGGCTGTAAGTGTAATATCATCCGGCTGTAAGTGTAATATCATCTGGCTGTTAGTGTAATATCATCCGGCTGTTAGTGTAATATCATCCGGCTGTTAGTGTAATATCATCCGGCTGTTAGTGTAATATCATCCGGCTGTAGTAATATCATCCGCTGTAAGTGTAATATCATCCGGCTGTTAGTGTGTAATATCATCCGGCTGTTAGTGTAATATCATCCGGCTGTTAGTGTAATATCATCCGGCTGTTAGTGTAATATCATCCGGCTGTTAGTGTAATATCATCCGGCTGTTAGTGTAATATCATCCGGCTGTTAGTGTAATATCATCCGGCTGTTAGTGTAATATCATCCGGCTGTTAGTGTAATATCATCCGGCTGTAGGTCAGGAATTAATCACACCTCGCCGTCAGTAGGTCACTTTTTCCCCGGCAGCAGAAGGAGGTGTTGAGACGCTCTGTAATTATGGTAATGGAAGGTGAGAAAGAGACACTGAGAGACACACTGAGAGACACACTGAGAGACACACTGAGGGACACACTGAGAGAGACACTGAGAGAGACACTGAGAGATAAATGGCGCTTTATTTCTCACTTACCTGTTACTTATTCCCTCCGTGCTGTGAATCACTACTACCACCACTACTACCATAACTACCACCATTATTACCACCATCACTACTACTACTACTACTATCATCACTACCACTAATATTACTACTACTACCATCACTATCACCACTACCACTAACATTACAGCTACTACTACTACTACTACTACTACTACCACCACCAGCGCTACCACCTCCAACACTACTACTACCGCCATCACTACCACCGCCAACACTACTACTACCATCACTACCACCACCAACACTACCACCACCAACACTACTACTACCATCACTACCACCATTACTACAGGTACAGTAACTCCCAAGTAGTGACAGTATCATTGAAAACGCAATATACAGGTACAAGTATAAAGTACAGGTACAGTAATTAACCATATACAAGTTTAAAGTACAGGTACAGTAATTTACCAGATACAGGTATAAAGTACAGGTTCAGTAATTAACCAGATACAGCTGCATTATACAACAGTGGTACCAATACATTCACGAGATTTATTCACAAATGACAAAATAAGTTGTGAGTAATGTTCCTGGAGGTAAAAGTCGTCAGTGAATAATGTGGCCCACCTGTACATACTAATCCCCCTAATGAATGAATAAGTCTTCTTGCATAATACGTGAATAAATAAGACTTCTCCTCCTTATACAATTTTACGAGTGAATAATATTAACCCCTACATAATAGAGTGAATAAGGGTTCCCATACATAATACTCCGGTGAATAAAGCCGCGCTCCCCTAAGGCCTATAAGCTAGAGTCAGTCTTGTCATAAGGGGGGAAGGTATTAAGTGAGACTAACGTTCACTCTGTCAACCCTCCTCCTCCTCCTTCTCTTCCTCTTCTTCCTCCTCCTCCTCCTCCTTCTCTTCCTCTTCTTCCTCCTCTCTTACTCCTCTTCTTCTTCTTCCTCCTCCTCCTCCTCCTTATCCTTTCCTACCAGGTTAAGTTAGGTTAGGTTTGGTTAAGGTAAGTTAAGTTCGGTTAAGTTTAGGTTAAGGTTAAGGTAAGTTAAGTTCGGTTAAGTTTAGGTTAGGTTAAGGTAAGCTAAGTTAGGTTAAGGTTAGGTTAAGGTAAGCTAAGTTAGGTTAAGGTTAGGTTAAGGTTAAGGTAAGCTAAGTTAGGTTAAGGTTAGGTTAAGGTAAGCTAAGTTAGGTTAAGGTTAAGTTAGGTGAATAAATGATATACTCATTACGTCACCCGTATAAATGATGACTAGGAAAACTCCATAGCGATGCAGAACAACATATTAGTTGTAATGATTCGTGTAATAATAATAAATAATAATAAACTGTTTATTAATAGAGTTGCAGCCGGTGGCTGTGTGTGTGTG